TGCTCCGGCGACTCTTCTTTTTTGGAGCTTCTGAGTCATCACCTCCCTTCTTTCTTTTAGCAGTTTGTCCCATACGTTCCAGCGCTTGCTTACGCATATGTTCGGCTGCTGTCTTGTCATTCTCAACTAGTTTTCGCTTATTTCCATCATCGCTCTCCATCTGCTCTTTTGCAGCCTTCTCCTTCTCTAGAACTTACTCTAGAAGGACATCAAGCTCCGAGGTGTCCACATCAATACCAGTGCTTTTCTCCTCCATCTTCAATTTAACTTGCATTCTCTTAGTTAGTAAGTCATACCGGTCACGCACAGACCGCGCTGTAGCTCTGAACTTTAGGACTGGCATTGCGTTTATATTCTCTGCTATTGATTCCCATGCTTGGCCTCTTTCGGTACTCCTCATCTTAAAACGGTACGGTTCTTCTACGCGGACTTCCCGGCACATAGCTATGTCGTGGTCATTATTCCAAACAAAGTTCGGATTTCTGTCAAAGTATAAATAAAAAAGATTTCAGATTGTAGAGTGCTACAGTTCTGTATAATTTTAATGTTCCAGACATTTGACTGTAAAATGGTATCTAATTTTGCGGAGAAATTTCCACCTATATATCGAAAGTTCGAGAGTAGGTTATTCAATTCTGGAACATCAACAGTCCAAGGAATTATTAAGCTTTCGCTTTATTAACAATAATTTACGCCTGACAAAAGTTAAAAATATTAAATTTTACGGAAGTTGTTTGACATTTAAATTCAGTTCTAAGTGCCGCTGATATAAACAACACACAAAATTTTTTAGTAGCAATAATCCGGCAGTTCCATACACACAGCTTTTGACCGAACGCAGAGGTATATTGTACTGACATTTAAAACTTTTCATTCATTAAAAATGATAAACAGCACTCTTTCATAAAATATACTCAAATAAATTTAAACTTACGTGGTCGCTCTCACAGCTTGACTGGACATCTGTTGTGCGGAGGAAGGAAAATGAGTTACAGTGTAGTGGGTTTTAGAATTTGATATTTGTTTAGAAAACTGAAAAGGGAGGTTTAAATCAACCGAATAAGCGAATACAAACTCCAACCGGTCATAGACTGTCAAAAAAAAACGACAATAAACATTCACCTTTTGATGAGAAAAGCTGCTTTCAAGTTCCGAAGATCACGACGACGTGAGACAGGTCCTTCTCAAGTCGTCGACGAGACGACGACGACGGAATTGTTGGTTCGCGCTTGCGCAGTGAGGTTCACGTTACTTCCGCTCGTCGTCCTACGTTCGTCGTCGTGGTTGCTTAAGCTCCCTAATGTCCCCAGGGGCTCTTCATGCTCTAACTTGAAATCGACCCACAGCCCCTGGGTCTCCGAGGATGTGTTTGTCATGGAAAAGCCGGAGTTTTCGTAGATTGTACATTCTGAAAAGTAAAACTAATAACTGAAATGCCCAGAAAGAAGATTTGCAACCGAAACCGAAGGTATCAACAAAACGCAACTTTTTGGTACAGTAGTCACCAAATATCTTGTGTAAACAAACTGACAACAAGTAAAAATCTGCCAGAGTCTACCACCAATATAATGAATTCTCTAGATAAGAAACAGAAACTAAGTCTTATCTTAAGTTAGCTTATCATGTTTTAACTCCAAATGTACTTTTCGACGTGCGATCAATTGTTTCTTGATGGTCAAGTTAGTTGAAACTTCAATATGGCGGCTGCAGCAAACCTCGAAAATAAGCAAACTTCAAACAAGGGTTACTGCAAAACCAAAAATTATCCCAAAAAATTAAAAGTGTATCTGCAATATAGTTATTGGGTTCTTCTTCGCGTACCAACCAGCGTTTTTGGCAGTTGTTTTAGGGTACCATAGAGCTACTGAAAAACAGCCGCAGGGTGTCATCGAGAAAAAAATTCATAAAATATTTATAACGAGAACATATCTGCTTTTCATGTCATCAATGAATTGTTCAAGGCCCTAACTATAATGTTAGCGCAAAGGAAAATTCCCAGATCATTTTCGACTTACGCTAGCTAGCCATGAATATGACAGAATTTCGATATTTCGAATATCGAAATTTCGCTCGATCCGCACTCGACCGTTTTTATTTAATTACTCTAAAAAAAAAAGGTTAGAAAAAACTAACCCTGTTTTGTTTACTTTGGTACAAGGGTCTATCAATATAGAAAGTATGAGCGAAATCGATTTTTTGGCTGTGATCGCGATTTTGATGATCATATGTGATCTTTACTGGCAGCGCCTCTTAAGGCTTGAAATTAAAATTTTGCTTGTGTAAAATTTTCACACAACGGTATTGAATACTTGATACATCAGTATAATTCATGAAATATTTTTACGCTACACGATCGGCCGAAACGCATGGCGTGATGGGAAATCACTGTCAAAGCCAAGCAAATTTTATTGGTATTTTTTCAATGACATTTCCCAATTTTGGAACTTCAGTGGTGGGTAGTGCGTTTGACTTCTGTTACAGAAGGAGAGACTTTTTATGTTGTTCATTATTAATGTTACCGAAAGAAAATTTCCATGTTCATAGAAATCATTGAAACAAGACTCTACATCAAGTACTACAAGTGTTGCTTCATGCCTTATATGAAAATTATGTCTCCTCACGTCTAGCAGAACGCCATATATTGGAATCGATACGTTAATAGTGGATACAAACTTACACAATATTAGTAATCCAGTAGTACCACTGGTAAATCTTCCATTGCAACTTGGTCATCTCTGTCGTTAAAACTAATTTTTTGGCTCCGTATTGTGCGAGTGCAAACTGGTTGTTCTTGTGTTATCGGATGTGCTATCAAACATGGACACCTTTACAGTTTAAGAGGAAATATCCCCAGTGTGAGGGTTTCTTAATATCTTAATTGGCTTGATCGTCTATGGACAAGATTTGAGTTTTATCCTTATTTGTATGATGGCTCATTGCGATGTTCTGTTGATGATGTAACAAATAATGACTGATATTACTGCGAAGAACGCTTTCTTTCAGATGCAATAGGCATACTGAGGCGTGAGAATCTCATTTAAATAATTTTTCTGATGTGTTGTGTTGATCTTTAGACGTCACCATGATCATTGCAAATGAAATTAGTCCGTGGAGAGGCCTGCAAATAACACCAAATAACATTTCGGGCATTAGTCCCGGGCACTATCTGAATTCGAGCTCCTTCCTTCACACTAGAGGTTTGACGATGGTCACCCCCTATATAAAAAAAAGTCCAGGAAGCCGAATCAACAATACTTGCAAACGAAATCTCCCCCTGGAGAGGTTTGCCAACTGCGTTGACGTCAGGTTAGGACTTCCTTTTATTATTTCAGTCACAATTCTTTAGCCAACTGGATACCGCCATCAATTTTCCCAACAAATACAAGTCTAGGAATCAAACTAATCTATATAAGTCTATAGTGTCTCGGTGTTTCCCAGCTGTTAACTTCACAGGAAATGTTTGTTTTTGAAACTTTGAAAACGAACTGTCAGCATTTGTTACGTGTACCTTGTTTGCACGTGCAAGTTTGTCCGTTTTCAAAGAGTTGAAATTTTGGAGGTTGTTTTGGTTAGGAGTTTTAGTGTTAAGCGCATTTTTGCCTGTTTTCTGATGAGTTTTTCGCAACTGCGTTCGAACAATAACAAAAACCAGACAGAGAATTCGCAAAGTTCAAACCCTTTAACTTCACAATCTAGCAAAGAGATCTGCACCCCAGGTAAATGCTTCGAGAGTGTCTCAGGGGTCGGGTGATATTGATATGGAGAAAGCTGAGGAGAACTTCGACACAACTGGGGACTCTGTGCAAGTGGAAAACTCTCAGGTATCGTCAATTGAAGACGATGAAGAGACAAACGACGAAGGCTCTTGCCAACAGGAAGTTATGACGGACGACAGCACATCACTTTCTTCCAATGAGATCAATTCGGTTGTGCCCAATCAGCAATTAAACTCTTTTTACCTGGAGATTTCAACGCTCTCGTCAAATGGAAAGGATTCATCGGATTTAACGGGGATGTCTTCAGGTAACTCAAAGTCATCTTCAAGAAGTGATATGTAGGCATGCGGTAACAACTCTATCCTTTGTGGGATAGTCTGATTATCCCGTGCAATACGTGATCAACATCTTTTAAAAGTCACTGAATAGTCTTAAAAGAAGGAGAATCAGTCTTATCGTTTTCCTTTCACGTTTCCTTGGTTACGGTGCCGGGGCGAGTCTTTAAAACATCGTTGTATAGAGTTAGTTCAAGATTGAATAGCGTGATAACAATTCCCTGTTTAGCATATGTTACAGTTCCTTTACATAAATTAAAATGAGTACCATGATAAATCGGTGTTTCGACCGCACATTTTCAACAGTTAAAACCCTCCTTATGGGTTGAAACAGATGGCATATGAAGAGATAACGAAAGTCAATACCTTTTGTTACGATCTTTTAACTACAGGTGTATTGCTTGCGTGTGCTTCAACTGTGTCTGCGGGATTGCCGCACGCAGATATCAGCAAGACCAACGTGCAGCCGGAGTCAGTTGGATGCTCCTTAAGCAATACCAGTTGCAATGGAGAGGCACCGGATGAGATTGATAGTCCCGCGAAGAACAACACACAAGTCTCAGCAACATCCCTGGATGTTGCCATAAACCCATTCCATTCGAAATCGTTCATGTTTGAGGTAAGGTTGGTGAGCCACTGCAATCGTCAGACCATAAGTGATCTGCTTGGCGAAATCCGTAGTAGATAACGTTGAAGACTAAGGTCCTGGCGATTTGGCAAGCTTGAAAATTCCGTAAACTTTTTGTTTAGGACTTTTGCCTATTCACTCTTGTGTGTCTCATGCGCCGTTAACCATGACGCATGCGAACAGAGATGTAAAGCAGATTGATGAAAAGTTTTTCCATGTTTTAGTTGGCGGCATGTAAAGGTTTCTTAGCTGGAACAGCTTTCGGGGCCCAGTGTGCTCAGTACAATTGTAAATGAACCGGACTACAAAATTTATCTCCTAGCAAGTTTAGCAAGGAATAACAAAACTCGTTTTTCTGTGTTATGTTAGGGGGGATCATTTGCATTAAACACCTTCGCTGAAAAGAAATCCTCCAGATCAGTGGATGTTGTGACATTGGACTCACCAAATTGCAAGGACGCTGAATATTACCACTCAGATGGGGATCCTTTTGAAAACTTAAAAGTATCATCAGATCACGAAGAATAATTCTCCAAGAATAATTCTCCCTCATGGGAGATACATGAGATAGAGTGCCGTGCATCGCTCACTGCACAGAGTAGGAAACGAAAGCGTAGTGCTGCTGAACGTTCTGACATAGAATCTGATGAACCTTTGAGAAAATCCCCATATTTAGTCATGGAGACAGAAGAACATGAAGCTGAGTCTCCTATAACTAAGATGACGATTGAGCCTCCATCCGTAGAGGATATAGGTAAACCGACTGATGCAATAACATCAGTTGAAGGTTAGGTAGAAAAGGCTTTTGACTTGTCTATCGTTGACTAAAATATTCACTCGCGTCTCAAGAAACCGTGATTAGATAATTTTTCTTTTCTAAAACTAAACACCGTCAAAACAATCCTCTTGACTCATTCGCATCCACCACATTATCACCGACTTCCACATTTAAGTGCAGTGTTGAACTCAAAGTTGTTTCAGAAAATGTTATGTTAAGGGAATCAATTACTATAACTTTTCCAATGCTTTCCAATAAAGATTGTGGCTTATTCTTTCATTCCTGTAAGCTTTTCAATGCCTATTTGAGATTAATTAAGAGTTTTTTTTTACGAAGGAAATCAATGTTTCAACCTCTAATTCCATATCTGGGCTAAAATTGCACCCTTTCTTCGCATTGGTCGGCTAAAACCTTAGCTTGTTTTTAGACAGTATAGGAGAAGTTAGACGCTTCTAGGTCATAAACTTCTGTTTCAACGGATAGGAAAGACCAGGAAACGAAAGCACAGCACTCAAGAAAGTTCAGATGCATCCGAGAAAGAGTCTAACGAGCCATTGCGAAAAGCTCAGTGTCTAGTCACAAAGACAAATGAACCACAAGTTTTTTCCCAACAAGCTAAAGGTTAGAAAGAATGAGTTTTTGACTTGTCTCAATGGAACATATTTGGTTTGCGTCCATTGCTGAATAGGGGTAGCCCTATTCAATTAATTTGTATCTCAACAAACTGCAAACTCTTTAACTCAGTTTTTAATCGCCAAATACCATTAGTAGACAAAGTAATGTGTGCATTTATGCCTTGAATGTCTCAAAAGCATCGCTGAAAGGCGTAATATTAAGCGTTCAGAGAGGACCACTCCAACAGTATTCAGGATTGCTTTCTAGTTGTGGACTTATTAAGTGACATCTGTAACGTTACGTCCATTCTGGATGTTTTGTAAACATTTGTGAGATCTGTCAATGCGATTCAGTGTTATATAGAGTTGTGTGATCTTAATGGTCCTATTATCTTTTATTCATATTTAGAACCAGCTACTCACGAACAGGTTCCTAGAGTTAACGTGGAAATTGAGCAGTTCACACAAGTCCTAAAGTTTTGGAATATGCTCGTCTGTGCCCCAGAAATGCTTATCACGCTCTTTTTTGCGTCCCCCCTCCTGAACAGCCAGTGACCGTAATGATCCCCAAAAATATAACCATCCAACCTCCGGTTAGCAAAGCCACTATGCATTTTGACTGTCACCCAGCTAGTAATTCGTTCAGTTTCTATTTTAACTGTTTTTTTTAACACCTTTAGAGTGAGGTAGACTTAGTGCTTTATGTTACTCAAGTCATAACTATATACTTATTCATTGTTTTTTATCGAAAGTGTGAACTGCTGTCTGTATTTTGAGTTAAAAAGGACATGTGAGGTAAATCATTGTATCAGTTATATTTTCCCTAAACCATGATAGCGATCACGTACATATTCGTTCGTAGAGATTTCAGAGGTCGGTGAAACGAAGGTATTTGTTTTCGGGTTGTTGAGCCTACTTAGAGAAAAAGAGAGAAGCGTTACAAAGCCAGGAGAGTGTGGGACGGGGAGTCATTTCTTCCTGAGGTATGTCTTGAGTATAAACGAAATGTGGTTCAAGCAGCTCCACATGAGACAGACAGTTTGTAGATAGAGTGTTATTGAGATGGGCAATAGGGGTACCTTAACTGTCAATCAAAGAAGAATATGGACGCAAAAACTATGTCCAGAATGATAGTTGCGTTAGGGCTAAACGCATGGGATATTAGGAAATGAAAGTAAACCACAATTATGCAAACTAATTAGCGTTGCTGTGTTGGGTTGAGGATTTCTCACGTCTGAGTAGCCTATTATCCTCAACATAACCACGTTTCAGGGTTGTAATAAACCGAGACCTTCAGTAGATTATGGCGGTGAGTTTAATCAAAGATGAAGCCAAGTGCCGTACAGGGAAACCTTACATGTACTCGATTGCACGATATTTGATATCCGGGTACTTGATGCTAAACACGTGACTTGATTACAACAAGGGTAATCTGAGTTTCAAAGCGATTATATGGCAGCATTACAAATATGATCAGATACATAAATCGAGTATGAGTATGAAGAGAAAACTTACTTGACATTTTTTGCCACAGGCTGAGGTACGGGCCCAAACCGAACCCTACAATCGGAAACGACGACGAAGAAGGAACTAAGAGTGGAAATACCTGGACCGGATGCTCCAACAATCATTTTTCTTTTCTACAAACTATTACAGCTTGGAACTATGAATTTTTATGCCACTCGATGATTGGCTGAAAAAAAATAGAATAACAAGGAAAGAAATGCAAAAAAACTGTTTTAATACTTGAAACTTAAACCGAAACTGTCTTTTCGATATAAAAAACCAAAAGAACGCAAAAAAAGGAATCAATTACCATTCCTAACAAAAACAAAAAAATTATCACAGTCTGCTCTTTTAAGTAGGCAAAGCCGAAACTTTTTTGTTGATTGAAACGTAAAGAAAAATAAAAAAAAAAGAGAAAATAATAAATGAATATTGCCAATTTTGTGTTTACTTATAACCGAGAAACAAACCTTTAACCCGAACATTTCTAAATAGCCACAAAGAAAAAGAAATATGTAAAACCTCTTCATATCAGCTAACGTCAAACCACGCCTAAGTATTTTCGGTTTCCTTTAGATGAATGGAGTTAAAAAATACTAATAAGCATAAGACAAAGTCATCCAAGAGGTAATAATGCTTATTCTGAAACTGATAAACATGTGAATTTGGTAGATAAATCGTATTATTAAACTGTGTTTATATTTCAAACGTGTTGTTTTGTTCATAGAAAATGGATGGAATTTAAAGAGAAGGGTGGGGGGGGGTGAAAACTCGGGGTTTTTGTTAACTTCTTTCTTTAGTGAACTTATTACAAAGGGCTGCAGGTTTTGTTAGTAGGTTTGAGAAAGGGATGCAATTTGTTAATAAAAGGAACACAAAAAAGGGTCCCGGGGTTACGCTGATCTCTGAGCAGTCGAGAGTTGCGAGAAGTATTGATAATTGTGCTAATAATGAAGTAAGAAAGTTACTGTTTAAGTCCATTCGTATAGTCATCGATCCATTTGCTATATTTGACAGAAAAAGCCTTAGTTCTAAGCCTTTTTGTTTAGTTAAACTTAGTCCGTGACGTTTTTCCTTTGTTCTTGTTTTTTTTTGTTGCGTTACGTTTCGGTACATATACACGAGTTACAGTTTGGTCACATGTTTTTGGACTGTAGCTTCTCACACGTGTTCTTATCGACGAGCTCTTGCGGCTGTAAACTCTTCCTTTTATTGTTTGGTTCGCACAAAATGTAAGTAGGATTTCGATTAACGCTTGTTTTTAGGTATTCGTTTGTTTATTCGTCCTTTTGTTTGTTTTCTTTCTCAGTTTTCACCGTCTTGTAACCGATTTCTCGTGACATGTTCAAACGATCAATTGTGATGGTAGAAAATTAAAGGAATATTACGGATAACGCGTCGAAGTTTTGTGCTATCCCCAACATAGTGAAAAATATTTTTGTCCTACCAAGAGTAATTTGTTGAAGACAGTCCCTCTACCCGAATTTATTGAGGAATGATCGCTTCGAGTGCAATTGATGGCAAAGGTAGAGTGGATCACAGGATTGTGGATCGAGGAATAGACCAAGTTGTTTCAGGTTTGGAGATAAATCAAATGGACTGGAATGAACCTGTCGGTTAAAGCCAACCAAGATTTTCCCCTGGACATTGGAGTCACAGCCTTTTCACTGCCGTCTGCTGATCTTAACCCACCATCAGCACTACAAGCATTTGGATACTCGCTACGCCAGGACCCCCTGCCAAATACACAAATCGATTTCAGTGAATTTTTGCGGCAAAAGGGTATAAGTGAACAACATCGACTGGCGAACTCGTGGAACAAAGTTGCTAGATACGTCGCTGCCGAAACGCAACAACTGCGTACTTGTCTTTACACAAATTGGGACCCCTCGTCCGCCCAGAAAATGGTAGAGTTTAACCCTTGCCTGGAATTTCTGCGAAGCTATTCATGCAAAGTACGTTCCAGGAATTAATGAAAGGAAACGTCTTCACGAAGTAGGAGCAAGATTCGAGTCCCTCAAAGAAACAATGACAATGCTGATCGAAGAATGTGAAAGGCAAATGCAGTCAGATCGAGAAACACAGAAGCAAGAAGATGAAATCTCTATAAAGAGTGGAAAAACACACCGGAGTTCTGTGTGTTCAAAGGCCTCTTCATCATCTAGAAAGGAAAAGTTACGTACAGCTCTGTTAGCCTAGAAGAAGCTGGAGCTCGCGAAGCGAAGAGCTGAAGAGGAGGCCGAGTTAGCCAGACAAAATGCAAAAACTGAACTGAGGCGTTTAGAGGATGAGGCAACTTTAGCCGAGCTAGATTGGAAAATCGAAAGGGATTACGATGAAGGAACTGGTCTACTGGGCGCCAATAATGAGGTTCCTCCAAATTATGGGACTGATAAGCTTCCATTCCAACACAGCCGTAAACCTGCTCTTGAAGAGTCGGAGCCAAGTAGGCTGGACATCTCTAAGAGGCCATGTAAGACAATGCCAGATGTTGCACCAGTAGATTACTCCACCCCCTTCGACAAGGTACCATGCGCGAAAACAAGGAAGACCGGCTACCAGTTACCAACTCCCGTCTCTCTTGCCATGAAGACCTAAACTCCTTTGAGTGCAAGCCTAAGGCTGTTTCAGTTACTAAACAAGAGGAGAATACCCCAAAAGATCATGTAGCAGCTATGTGGAAGGTGCAACTCCTAAATGGTATTGTCCCGACTCAATTTAGTGGTAATCCAGCTGAATTTCCCTTCTTTAGGGAGCAGACCCGCACACATCTTGAAAGTGAGCTGCTGAATGACGCCCAAAGAGTTGACTACTTACCAAAATTCTTGAAAGGTGAAGCGCTCAAAGTAATCCAAAGAAACCGAGGCTGCTCCTATGACGATCTCATGAGGACTTTAAAGGAGCGTTTTGGTCAACCCATCCAGGTGTCTCAGGCCTACATTGAGGACCTCGTTTCTGGCCCTAGGCTCACCTATGGTGACAGTGTAAGTCTACAAAACTTTGCTGAGGAGTTGAACACTGCATCAAAAATCCTGAGGGGTGATGTTGAGCGAGAAGCTAGTGCAGCTACTAATCTGAGAAGGATTGTAAACAGACTCCCAAATGACCTGATCACAAAATGGCAGACTCAAAACTATGAGATAGTCAGCAGAGGTAGAACTGCCCGATTGCAGGACATCGCAGACTTCGTCAAAAGGCAGGCCTCAATCCGAAACGACCCGGTATTTGGATCCCAGCGGCAAAGACGAGAAAACAAAGAGGAAAACAGGAATGCCCCGAGTTCGTTTCCCCGTGATGACGA